AAGATAAATTGTAGTGGCAAAATAAAAAAAATGTGGATATACATTTAAATATTACACTAATAACTGCAACATAGCTAAATAGCATCGGTAAATTAGTTTGCGACCCGCCACAGTCCACAGGCATTTGTGAACATCCTGTATACAACAGCATTGAGTTAGCTATAAATAAAAAAATATCGTATGCGATTTTTTCAGTCTAAGTACTTAACGCAGCCTTAACGTTATTCAGTGAGTTCTTAATTTCTATTGTTAATTTCAATAAAATATTTCATTTATAGTTTTTCTTTTAAAATGTAGATATGGAATCTAAGTTGGCTTTGGAGAAGGAAGAACTCAAACACCAGCTGGATGTTGCACAAATTATCGCCAGCGGAGGTTCCGACGTGGAAAGGTTCTACGCTGGTTCCAACGTATTTCTCACCGGCGGCTCCGGCTTTGTCGGAAAACATTTAATTGAGAAGCTATTTAGGTAACAGAATTACGATTCTCTCAACGCGTGTGTGCCTAAATCGGAAAGCGACTGCTGCCCATAGACGTCCGCAAAAGCAGATGCGTTGCCTACCTTTTAAAGCGGAGGATGGGACGCATAGAAAGAAAGTATTTTTAATTCTTATGCTTCTATGCTTAAGTTAAATCCATCACTCTACCCATCTTTTTCTTAAAAAAGAGTGGGATGTAAAAGAGGATTAAAATCAGGCCTCCGGTAAGCAAATTGCTTCTACATGACGTGTGTCTTCTATGTGGACGTGGTATTGCAACGGGCGAACCATTTGTACAACAAATGTCGTCTACCATTTTTATGTTTAATTATGCGTGAAATACATTTTTTTATTATAATAAATATTAAATGACTAGTTCAGTCCTTGCTTTCAGATGTTGTAATGTGAATAAAGTTTATTTATTATTGCGATCAAAAAAAGGGAAATCTGTACAGCAACGAATTGATCAAATTCTTAAAGACCCTGTAAGTATGTAGTATATTTTAACTATAATTATTATGGCATCCCAAAAGAACTGTATAAAAAATCGTATTTCTGATGCTATTTTTTTCTAGGTCTTCGAAAGTTTACACAAATGTAAATCAGATTTTAAGATGAACATAATACCAATTGAGGGTGAAATGGGTGAAAAGGAACTGGGCATTAAAGATGCTGATCGGAATATTATCATCGAGCAGGTAAATAATTAGTCAAATTTGGGATATTAAAAAAACCTTTTTAGTTTAGTAAAATAGAAGAAAGTAACGTGCTGGAGTCCGATTCACTTCTTCGTTTGCCAACTTGCTACAAATAAAATGGTTTAATTTATATTATTCTATTTGTTTTATATGATATTATTGCCTAGTCATTATCTTAGTCACTAAATATATTGTCTGTAAATTAAATGTCGCAAACCTTGGTATTGTTACCTTGGTATAAGAGTGTCGGTAGTTCAAGGGTTACACGCCTGGCTTTTAGTCTGCAGGTCTTCTGTTCGAATTCAGCCATGTACCAAAGTGGATTTAGATTTCAAAAGTTCATATGTACATTCGCATAAATCCGCGGTGTCCCACTTCAGAAAAATTGCCATGTTCATTGCAACGAAATACACTCCACCTCTTCCTATACAAAACTAATTAGATAGCAGTGAGTGCAAACAAAAAGAACCTAGCCGTGTATTACTAACTGCCTTTTTTCATACAGTAACAGATTTTTGTTCCGTGTCTCGTTTCAAAATGTTCAAACAATTGAGGATTTTAAAGTTGAACACCGACGGTTTGTATAGTCAGAGCTATTCATAATTTACCAAGTGTAAGCAGTAGTAATTATCAAATATATTTAACTTATGTTGTTAGCCGTACAATTACTACTGATCAATTAATTTAACAATTTCAGGTAAATATTATATTTCACGCGGCTGCAGTTGTAAATTTTAACGAGAACGTAAAAACTGCAACCCTGATCAACGTTCGAGGAATCAGGGAGATTGTTCGTCTAGCTAAATGTTGTAAACAATTAAGGCAAGTGTTAACATACTAGTATTTGGCATTATTTAATGGACGTTTCAAGGGAAAGGTACACCTGTAGAGGTAGACCAAAAAGAGATGGATGAATTGCATGAAAGGTGACATGATCAAGAAGGGAGTGATGACTGAGATGACGTATGATATAGTTGGAAACTTACGGATATACTATAAGATATATAGTATAAGGATATAAATTAATATATAATATTAGAACATAAGAGGCGGCAAAAATGTAGCAATTACACCAAGCTGAGGCAATGTGTGGTTTAAACCGAAGAGCAAGTGCGGTTGGAAATAAACAAATGATAGTGGTAAAATAAAATTAAAAATTTCTGCTCAAAATGTTGGTTTGCCTAACTAATTCGCCAAGGTAATTATTTCAGATCTTTAGTTCACGTATCCACAGCGTACTCTCACGCCACCAAGAGTAGAGTGGGTCAAGCAGTGAAGGAACAGTTCTACGATAGTCCTGTGCCACCAAATGCTATAATAGACATGGCAGAAAGCATTGAACAAAACAAATTGGAAAATATGATGCAACTGTAAATAGTTTTTAATTTTTATCTTAGCCTTTGAAAAGTGCGAATCAATTTTAATAGAAGACTAGCTGTTCCCGAGCGGCTTCATCCGCGTGAAATTGTAAAAAATTTATTTCATTGTTTACATTTGTCAAATTATCAGTAGCAAATGTCAAAATAACATGATGACTATCCATGGCAATCTTTATTCCTTGATGTTGGCAGCAACTTATGGTCTTTTTCCCACATTATATATAGCCTAAAGCGTGGCGTAAGTGTGGGGCTTTTCATTAAAAAAGGAGTTATTCAAAAATATTCTGTCATTGCTGACATCTTTGGCAACAAAGATGTGTGTGTTTACGCTTTATTATAATAGTATAGATTGAATTATTTATTGTAATTGTTAAGAATTGATATTTTTTAAATAGTGATATTTTATTGATTACATATTATAACCACATTTATTTCAGAGTAAAAAAAGATTATGCGAATACGTATACATTTAGTAAAGCATTAGCAGAAGAAGTTGTAAGAACTGAAGGACGTGGCTTACCTATTTGTGTTGTTCGACCATCTATTGGTGAGGGTAACTTACTCAACATTGATGTGTGATAAACATTTTCTAGATAATACTTTGAATTTAAATTAAGAGTTCGACGAGCTGTCGCCCGAAAATTCGCGGAATTTAAAAAAAAAATAGCTCATAACATGCTTATCCAAGTTAGCTCCTCTTCAGTGAAAGTCCCGTCGAATTCGGCTCAGCCGTTTCGGAGATTACCCGGAACAGACACACCAATTTTAGTACATGTATAGATAGTTTATTAATAATGATAAAATTAATATTTTTTTCAGTCATAAGTTCATATCGTGAACCAATGCCAGGGTTGGTTGATCCATGGAATATAAACAGCCCCAGTGGCGTAAGTTCTGTCTAAGTAATTTTAAATATACATTTGTTCCTAACTATGGTTTGGTACAATCAACCAATCCGCCGAGGTACCTCGTTCGGCTGGCACATAATTATTTCCACGTCTAAATGTTTAACAGTGGTAGAGCCCATTTTAACATCGTCCCATTCGCTTCTCGCTAAGGTGCAATACCACAACCATTCACCAATTTGTCGGATGAGTGTGCGTAATAGGGGACTAATTTTAGTCCCTTTTCCTTTCCTAACTTTTCTTATAAGAAAAGGATGGAACGGGAATTTGGATTTGACGTGTCCTCTTTATTTCCGTCTCCGTCTCTGTCGATTAAGGGTATAACGCCTCTGCAATTGCAGATGTCTGTTGGCATGAATCGTTTTGCCATGTTGGATTTAGGGGCCGCTTGTTTTTTTGCCACATTATGTTAACTAAAAAAAAGAAATAGACGCAAACTTTCTTTGCCGCGTCTCCGTGAAGTCTGCTTGCTTATTTCATAGCATTTCTAACCTTCTTACTACAATAAGTAAGGTTATGTTTTTCATTTCAGGTTTTGTTGGGAATTTATACCGGAGTAATTCATGTTCTAAAATCCACAAGTGACATAGTCGTGAGTTATGTTCCAATTGACATAGTCACAAATACAATATTGGTGGCTGCACGGGAGAATACACTACAACAGTCAAATGTAGAGAATATTAAAATTTATAATGTAACGAACAATAGAAATCCGCTTTTGTGGAGTAAGTACAACATGAGAACGTTTTAGCAAATGGCGTTAGTAAGAAATTGAATTCCTACCACGATTAGTGTATTGCCAGTTAGCTTGTACGAATAAAGTTCGGAGCACATAAAACGCAGTAGAAATGATGTTTATATAATAAAAATTATTTATATAGCAACACAGAGAAAGTTGCCAAATCTTTCCTAGAGTACATAGTATCTCAGTTTAAAAAGTAATCATTAATTCAAAAGTAAAAATTGTTATTTGAATAAATTACAAAAATCTATTTTTTTAACTTTTAATTTTAGGAGATTATTCTAAAGTTCTTAATACATTTGGAAGAAATCTGATATCTACAAAGGCAATATGGTATTGTTTTGCTTTTGAAACACCTTCTAAATTTCTTAGTATACTGCTTTTTTGGCTTCTACATTTCATTCCTGCATTTTTTGTGGACATTGCGTGCAAGATAACAGGAAAACCATCAATGTAAGTAATTTATAAAAATAAAACAAACTAGGCAAATTTTTATTACTATGATATATACCCACCTATCAATCGAATCAATTAGCTCCCCTGTTGTTTTAAGGAATTTCTATTTATACTAGCTTATGCCCGCGACTCCGTCCGCGTGGAATTAACAAAAAGTGGGTACGTCTTCTTCCAGACTATACCCAAATTTCATCGAAATCCGTTTAGGCTATAAACTTTAACAAACATCCTTCAATCTAAACTTTTGCTTTTATAATATTAGTATGATTATTTACATTATAAATACAAAATGTATAGTCGAGGAAACTGGCGGTGCTCCACCTTTTGTTTAATATTTTGAATATCTTAATATTTTTATGTTTACGTTTAATATTTTGAAACAAAAACCAATACAATGCAGCTTGTAAATGTGTGTATAAAAAATCGCTTAGTGAAAACCGGTTAGCTTTTTTATTATTATTATCCCTTCGTTTGCTTACTGCTATCTAATTAGTTATTTATGAAGAGACTGAGGTCCACTCGCAATGAACAAGGCAATTTTTCCTGAAGTTCAACACCGTGGTTTTCCGCGACTGTACCTTATGTGATTATCACTATATGTTTCTGTTCTTATTTCAGAATGATACAAACTTACAAAAAGATATACAACTTGATATCTGCGTTGGAATTTTTCATAAACAATGATTGGAAATTTCAAGACGATAACACTGTCAATCTTTATTTGAACCTGTCGAATAATGATCGAGACATTTTCAACTGCGATATGGCTACAGTTGACAACAAAGAAATGACTGAACTTTGGGTGTATGGAGTTCGGAAGTATTTGATAAAGGATGTCAGCCTTAAAACAGCTACAAGAAAGCAATTTTGGTTAAAAATAATAACATGTCTGATATTTATTTTATATGCTTATGTGTTCTATAATATTATAATGTCTAGCTACTGGATAGTAACTAAATTTATGTAAACTTCTCTTTTTGAATATGTGAATTATTTGGGAATAAATAAATAAGAATAGGTCTTGGAAATGCTGATTCAATTGAATAATAAAAGATTAAAAGAAATAAAAAGGTGTATGTATATTTTGGTTGGTTTTACTCGTATATTGTTAAACTTTAGACGTCTAAATTAATCTTAATATAAAATCAAAAAGCTGCATCTTTTAACTTAAGTCTTTTTTTCTTTTTCCCACTAACAAGGACAAAGATTATATTTGTCAATTATCTGTTCATTATTCTTTTTTATTTTTAATTGCACACTTTTCTTATTTGCCACTTTAAAAAATATGGTTATTGAAACCCAATGCTTTACGATAATCTAGACTTAAATGTTACATTTAAAATGTTAACACTATTTATTCATAAAATAATGTAATAGCAAAGTACGAAATGTAAACTTGAATAAGAAAAAGGGTTTTTTGTAGGCGTAGAATAAACTTGTCACCGTAAAGGCGTGTTACGTGGAATCGCAGTTCTTCAATTAGGGATGTCACTTTTACTAAAATTAAAAACACCTTTAGTATCACACGTGTATTTCTTATCTTTTATTCCCATATGTCCTTATTCTTATTTTACGTGATTTATATAAATATAAAATATATTATGTAAAAAATAGAGCACCACCGGCTGCGGAAACCCATGCCTCAAGCAACCAGTGATCAGGGCAGAGACCGGAACCTCCTCACAATGCATGCGGTTTCTAAAATAACTGCCTTTTGAATCGGGCCCTTAATCAAACTGTCTAGCGAGAGCTTTTTAAGAAGTTGGTCAAAGCTTTTCGCTATAGCCCATGTACCGAAACGACTATCGGAATAATGGAAGTCGATTACATAAGCCACTTGGCGGTAACCTTGCGGTAACCTCTAACCTAACTTATCTTTTGTATTATAAATATTTAATTAATCCCTTTCGATACTATTTGTACACATAGTGTGCGTTAGAACTTATTAATTCAGGCAACAAAGGCCTCCAATTGTTAGCTACTATAAAACACCCTTGGCTACTATATTTTACTGCCATCATAATACAAAAAGATTTATTTATCCCAAACAATATTATTAGTGGCAACCCTAATGTAAAGAACGTAGTAACAAGGTATTTGTTCTAAAGAGGGTCGTATGACCTACAGTTTGTACGTAGCGCCAGCAAACATATGTATATATGTATAGTATGAACATACATATGTTTCTTCTGCTCATCTTGGCAGGGTATTGCAGCTAAAATTATTGTAATGTAATTATATAGGACATATATAGACGTTAACAATATAAAACGATTCTTTGTTTTTTAAGACAAAGATGTCTATCCTCTCTTTGTCTAGTCGAAAGACATAAATTATACAGGAAAATCTTTTAACATCTTTAAAAACATTGTATTACAGATAATCTAATCGTTTACAAAGTTATAAAATAGATTCACGCGAGATATAAAAAAACAAGTAGCCCATGTGTTCTTTCAAGCTATGCTCTACATCTAGGCCAAATTTTAACGAGATCCTTTCAGCAGTTAAGTTACAATCTCTAACAAATCCATCTAAACATTCACATTTATTATTATAAGATGCTAGCACTATTCTACACTATGTATTGTTAAGTAGAAAATCAGTATCGTACCATAGTAGCAGTTCAACACTGAATCACGGATATTTACGTCATGCCCCTTTGACAGATGTCATTATTGACAAAAGAGTTCGAACGCAGAAGCGCGCCTTTTTCGTTCCGTGTGCGGTTACAATTATTACTTAAAAGTATTGAATATCGAATTCATTATAGATAATGACTTTTGGAACAAATTTGAGTGGTCATGTGATAATTAAAGATTCAGAAGCATCGATATTTCGGAAATTGCGTGAATAAATTATGGCTAGTTGAAAGTTCTATTAGCACGCTATATTTATTGATTATTACTACTTGTACAAGTTAACATTTTCTGAAAACAATTATTAGAAGTACCGTACAAAATATCCCGAAACAACAAATATCACTAGTACCTTTGACTAGATTTACTTAGTACCTTTGCTGTGGTCAATGGGTATAAGTGTCGGCCCGAAACTGGTTTTTAAAGCTGGAACCAAACTTTCGGCTTTGCTCACTGTTTCAGTCAAAACCGAATACGAAACTTACGAAACCATATTTCAGATTACGATTATGTATTAAAGTTTTACGTGGTTTAATAAGTTTTTGCTTTTAATTAACGAATCAAACGCCTTGTAAACTAATTTCCACATTTTCATCAGACAGTCATTTCGTTTTTCGTGCAATAAAATTAAAAATCAGATTTTCGATTAAAATCGATCCGTGACGACGTATAACAATCCACGAACCGTCCAGTCTCGGCAGGGTCGAAAGTTTTTTACAACTTATGACGTAGTATTTGTATATTTTAAATTAATTTACAGGATATATCAAAATATTCGTATTGTATGAATAAAGCGTTGCGTTAGTTACATTATGCGTATTGTTAAGAAAAAATAGTACCGCGCTGTAGAATTGGCGCAACACTAGGTTATCGATATAAACGTCACATCTCTAACTGACAGCTGTCAATGTCATTAGAAGGATTGATATTCGCTCGCATTCCTGATGAGATCTCTAGTGCACTACAATTACATTAATTGTTTGAAAGTATATAGGCAAAATTGTACACTGTCAAACTGTACAGTTAAAACTGAAAGGCTTCTAGCGAGCTTAAATAATTTACACTGACACAATTAAGTTTGCTAGAAGATTTACTTGTCAGCCGACAGACCGTAGCAAAGTTATAACTAAATCTTTCAATTCCTCACAAATAGAGTTCAATAATTCGATCTCGGGTGTCGAGGGACGAAACTGAGTTACATGGTAATAGAATCTGCAATGTTCTATTTTCTTTATATACGATCAGGGAACATAGTGAAGCTTAATACATTACAAATGTAAATGTATTAAAAAATATAAAATGATCCTTACATAATGTATTAAATAAACGGCCGGCATAAAAAAAATCAACTTAGTAGCCTATGTATTCTTCCAGACTGTGTACTACTGTACTGTATACATCATGACAAATTTCATCGAGGATGTCCACAGTCGTTGGCTAACTCTAACAAACAACCATCTAAACTAGATTGTTGCTTCTTAGAGAACTAGTACATACTAGCTGTTACTCGCGACTTCGTATGCGTGGAATTAAAAACAAATAGTAATAAATATAGCCTGTATTACTCACTGATAACAAAGTTTTTTTAATAGTGGCAGACATTTTGAAACCAGGCAATTAGTTTTTGGGTTATTTCAATACATACAAAAATTCAAATCTTACTACTTTACAATATTAGAACAGATAAATTTGGCCATACACTCATAACACGATAGTTTCACAATTAAGTTGTAATATCTTTATAATTATTACTTCTGTATTTTTTTTGGGCCGAGTTTGTTCATTATCCACGGAATGGTTCGCTCTTAGAGCTTATGCAAAAAGTTGTTTCGAGTTCAAGTCGCAAATAAAACCACAGCCTCTTAGAGAAACATCGAGAATTCCAACGAGGTTGACAAGGACTTCTTCGTTTCATACTTTTTGTTTCAATTGTTATTTGATAAGTCTCGTGTACTTTAAAAGCAATAGTAATAACAATAAAATGGTGACTAAACATACAGGCGCACTTCTATTCAGTTACAATAAATAGTAATAAATTAGATTTACTGTAAACATATTTAGGATGACAAATGTTTTTTTGTATAATCACCCAAACACTTGCAAAACGAGGGTTATGGTGGAAAGGTTGGAAGGTTGGGGTAAGAGGCATATAGCTTTTATAACCTTTGTAAATAAAAAGCGGAAATACTTTTGAGATATATTTTGGTAAAACTTTGGTGAGTATTCTACATAGAATATTTATGTCGTAAAAAGAGTAATGCTGGGTTTCTAAAGTTTGCTCTTATTTTATCATTAGTTAGTGATGCATTAGTCTTAGGTTGATCTATGTTTCAAAGGAGTAAAACTCAAGTTACACATGAAATTATACCAAGAACACTAATGAATGGTTATAGCTGGGAAACCGGCCGTAAGTCCTGTTCCAAAATTGTCAATGTGACGTGCGAGTAAGCTAGAATTAAAAATATTTTTTATCTAAAAAACTCTACATATTTGTACAGAGTAATCCACACTAACATAATTACATTGTTAACTATAGAGGCTTGCAAATGCTATCTCATAAAATGAATTAAAGTGGTATAGAATGGTTGCATCATCCACACGAGCGGAGATAACTGAATCAATCTATGTCGGTGTGACGTCGACGTTATCCGGAACGTTGACAAATCCAATAACCGGAATAGCTTACTGCGTTTTCAACACGCAATAATTTTGAATACTAAAGAGTAGTAACGAAATATCTTTGATAAACTAAAATCATACTAATATTATCAATGCGAAAGTTTAGATGGATGAATGAACGTTTGTTAGAGTTTGTAACCTTAACGACAAAACGAATTTCGATGATGGGGCATGGATGTAGAGGATAGTCTAAAAAAACACATAAAAATAAGAATAAGAATATCTTTATTATACATAGGCTATTCACTTTTGTTTTTTTAATTCCACGCAGACCAAGTCGCGGGCGAAAACTGGTAAAGTTATTAAAATTTAAAAATATGTTAGTGTAAATTATTTTCTATTTTACTAAAAGTGAGTTTACAGCTACCAGCAAAAAGGTCTTATAAGAAACAGTTTCTGTCTACACTTTTAGATTTTCTAATTGAAGTAGGTACCACTTCATACCTCCTCCCGGAAACATATAATTGGCACCGCACTATTTTTTGGTTGTCAGTGGACGGACAGTAAGGTTAAATCTTACCTACTCCCTAATACAAAGAGCATGTTTCGTCATCATCTTCCCTGCCTTATTCTACTCCCGTAGTGTCGGCGCACCGGATTTTTGTCCTCCAAATAACTCTATCATACGTCATCTCAGTCATCACTCCCTTCTTGATCATGTCACCTT